CATGCACATACATACATATATATATATGTATATCTAAATACATACATATACATATATATATTAATATAAATATAAATATATATACATACATATAAATATGTATATATATATCTACATATAGACACACACACACATATATATTTATGTTCGTATATATTTTTGTAAAATAGTATATTTCTCGTTGAATATGCTCGGTTCTAAAATTTATAGTCCACAGTTATATACGTTTCGTGCATATATCATTCAAAAGTGACATGATGTCTTTGGGTTGACTACACGATTGCTTTTGTCCTAACTGTTTCCTGGTCATGTGTCAGTACATATTCGGTACAATTATCGACGATGTATTTATACTGTTCACTTTTTTGCAGCAGTATTTTTTCAGCGTGGCGACGGACTCTATTGAATCTGTTTGGAGGTAGTATCTCATATACCTTCATATCGAATCCTATTCCCACAAAATCACAGCGAATAAGGAGGCAGGGTTCAAGAAAAACACACATTGCCATGAAGCCGAGCTGACTGTTTGTTTCATCAGTAATCCGGAACGGAAAGTGCCTGTGTGGTACCAGAAGATCACAAACGATATCCGTGTTCCAATGATATGGGTAAATATAACTATAGCGATTGATAGTGGATTGTCTTTGTATGTCATGTAAGGTGCGGTGATGCAGGTCTTGTCGGGATGCGACTAGGTGTGTGCTACAGCACCTCAAATGCTGTAGAGATTCGGGTGCGAACTTGCCATGCATACGATGCCCTTACTTAATTGAATACTAGACTATTTGTGCGGGACTCCGGGGCAAAATAATGTAAGCAAACACTGATGGATTTCTTTACTGTCGTGTGAGGTCGAAATCCACTACATTGAACAGCAAGGCTAACTCAATCCTCGTATGTAGTCTGTACTCCCATGATGCGTGCATAACCATATCACCGTAAGGTCAGTCTCGTCACATACTACCGAAAGGGCACTAAAACGTATCGCTTAGACCTCGTACCCAGTACTGTATTAGTCAAGCGCGTGAGTTGTGTACTGTGTGGATAGTTCGAGTTCAGAACCCATGTAAAGGGTGTTCTTGCTTTTCTACCATAGTTACTGTTGCTGGACAACTACCACCCCATGGGCAGATGATATCATCAATTCTGTGTACGTATTTCAGGTATTGATGAACTCATAATCGACCTTACAGGACTATCACGTGGTACTACTATCGAAATGCAGCCATACCCCCGCGGGGTTGGTGTATGATTTCGACTCCGTTCTACCCTTTCCATGCGATGGTGCTGAATATGCGAAATTGGCACTGCAAATCAGCATGCGCCGCAATCCATGCTATTATGGGTGAGTGTGTATGCTTAATGTACGCCTCCTTAACGTATGTCAATTCTCTTTGTGTTTTCTTTTACGCTCTCCTGTGACAATATATATATATGCCTTTTTGTTTTAGTGGTCAAGAGCCAATTGCCCCAAGTGTGAAGGTATACCTACCAGCTTCGTAGTGCGCTCGTCGAGAATAGGGCAGCCATTAGCACACGCCACTTTTAGGGCTGTCCCGAAGAAACGACAAGTGTCCACTAACTTCTGTATAACCCACACGCTGGCAGTATTAATGTTAGTGACAGAGATATAGCTCGAGACCTGTCGTAGAAGTAGCCGAAATCAAGAGATACACAAACTCACTTCGCATACTCAACCTTGTTGAACATAACGGCCCATCGTACGTGCAGGTACTACCGCCTGGTACCATTGGCATATTTTATGGAACACTTTGGCAGCGACAGATCGCACATGATCCGAGCAGACGGAACGTGGTCAGCGCCACCGCCTGTTCACCCCTGTATCAAGCCCGGTAGGTGCAGCTCGTTAAAACGGATTACATATATTTCAGATATATATATATTTATATATTTATATATATATATATATGTATATGTATATGTATATGTATATGTATATGTACGTATATATTTATATACATATATATATATATATATATATATATATGTATGTATGTATGCCTACTATCGATATATTATAAGGTACGTGTATGTTTTAGTCCTTGCTTGTCTCGGTTGGCAAGGATTAATATGAGTATGCACTCGTTGGGATACAATTACAATATTAAATGTGCCCACTGCTATATATATTTTAAACGCCAATTTCCCGTCTATATTCATAGCGTCTCTCTTTACTCGGGACAAAACCTTGTACAGTTGTGTGAGCTGACAAGTCATTTTTACGTTGATGCAGTCTTTGACATCGTTTGGTCTATTTGACTGAGTTTTTGTGTATGTATGAAACTCCATCTATATGATTATCTTCGTATGTTGGTATGTATCAGACAAAAATTGATTGAGCGCTTTCGTTATTTGTGTACAGATCCGGATCCGAATATTTGTCCTCTGATCATTTTAAAGCCCGAGCTTGTTTGTATAATATACAATCAGCTTGACTAACAAGCTTGTTATTAAAGAAAAAATGCAGCTCAAATCCAATCGATGTATATTCAAAACACAGCAGTGCCACAACAGTTGCTCTTTACCATATACTACATTAATTGCCGTGGAGTACTGTTGTTTAGCATGCTCCTGTCCACTAAATGTACCATTTATATGTATCAGTTGGTACTGAATAATTTGTCTTAGCATGCACTTGTCCACTAGCTGTATCATTTATATTTAATATTTGGGACTGAATCAATTGCATTAGCATGCTCTTAACCACTAACTATGCCATTCAAATGTAGCAATTAATACATATCCGCACCAATGAACCAGCCATGTGGCTCTGCGGTTATCACCTTCAATCGACAATACGGAGTTCGTAAGTGTGCCTGTTTGCGCTTTACAATTCAATCACTCACTACTTTCTGCTACAGAGCTGAATAATCTGGACGAATACATATCAATGAGGCGAATATCACATTGTGAAGAAGGATCAAACGGGACAATCGAGGCACAAACATTAAGTAAAACACATCCGGCGCTTCCGATTCTAGAGCTAGTGAGAGCGCTTTGCCCACTTAGCATGGCACTAGTAGAAGACAGAGAATACATTGAGGTAGATAGCGACAGTCAAAGCAGCGACAGCGGTGGCTGAGTTAAAATTTATATTTAAAATCTTATAAGCGCATCATTGTTTTGTGCAGTGCCTTAAAATACATAGTTAGGTCTATACCACTGTTACATTGTGAGGTAGTATTGTATTGAAAAGCAAAATGCTGGTTTCTGTACCACCTATGAGTGACAGCAGTGGATGTGAATATTTCTAATGACAACAATGCAGATAACACAATACGGAGTATGTCCAAGTACGTGATCGTTTAGCAAAGATCTCCACCCACTTTTTTTTTTTGCCTATTCTATATAATGTTTTTTGTGTTATATAATATTGGAATAAACTAATCTTTAAAATTTGTAATTTGAGTTCTCGCGGATAAAGATGGCGACAATAGCTGCAATTCCGAATGCGACACCATTCATTACCATAACAGCCTCAAGACCAATCGAGACTCTCATCTCGGCCACAACTAGGGTGACAATGATCTGGGGTACCACGATGAAAAGATTGAGCAGACTGAACTGGGCACCAACCTTAGCCTCATCGCCAGACTCCTTATCATCTTCCTGACTATACTTTCCAACGATAGCGAAGGGGAAGGCATTGATACCTGAGATGGGAATGACCATTCCGATACCAACCGCGTACGCATACGCGGAACCGGTGATGAAAGTCGAGCCGATCATGAGAAAACAACCAAATGCAAGCAAAGCTGACCAGACAAATCTTGTCTTCACCAGGATTCCTCTGTTCATTAGCATCGAGGGTCCTCCAGAAATGACAATCTGCATGAAATTAGCGAGGATATTGACATTGGCAATGATTTCTAGACCCTCGGAGTAGTTGTCGTAGTCCTCTTGACTGCACACAGGCGTCTCTCCTACTGGTGTATCGGCGGGGTTCACTCCACACCCTTGCATCACAACTTCTGTGTACCAATTGGAACTTACAGGCCACCAACCGAAAAGACCCCACCAACAGAAAAATACAGTGATACCAACGATGATTAATTTGCCGGTTAGCTCCTTGATTGAAGCGAACAAATGAATGAAGGACTCGGCCAAGGAGTGCTTCTCGCCCTCCACTTTAGGGATGTGTTCTTCCGTAACCAGAAACACAGCGGCGCCAACGAAGAGTATGTTCACCAATAGCACTAGACAGAAGAGCACCAGTACCTCCAGTGGATCAGTGTAGAAAACCTTCTACAACACGTAGCCTACCAAACCACCGACACCCGGGAATGTAGCAGCCATAAGCTGACCCGAGGACTGTTGGGAAGGGGGTGCGAAATCAGCAATGAGGGCACGTAGAGGCGTTTGAATGACATTGATGCACCCATCTAAGCAAATAAATGAAGTCATTGCAACTGCAAGACCAGCACTCCCCATAGACTTTGAGTTGGCAAGGAGCATGGAGAACAAGGCAAGCAGAATTAGACCGATAATCATCCAAGGGCGACGGCGTCCCATCTTTAAGTGCGTTTTATCTGACAATGATCCAACAATGGGTGCAACGAAGAAACCCATGAGTGGCCCACTGAGCCAGATATTAGATGCAGCCTTCTCTCCCAACCCCGTGGCTATTAAATTGTGTGTGGTGGTCTTGGTCCAAATACATTGTACACCTACCCACGGAAGTGCCAGAAGCGCCAACTTTGCATACGCTGTCATCTTATCCTTGCGAGTCTCCGGGTGAGGATTAATCCAGAAGATGCCTTTCGCCTCTGCTTCCTCCTTGGTCATATAGTTATCTTTCTCTTCAACGAAAGCCTCACCTGACTCCAAATTGGTGACTGACTCATCATCTTTCTTGTCAAAAGACATATTTTATTGTCCTATTTTTCTTTTACGTATGTTGTTCCGTGCAGTGTCTGTCTGACAATTATGTCATATTCTTGTCAAAAGACATATTTATTGTCCTATTTCTTTTTTCCGTATGTTGTTCCGTGCAGTGTAGTTTTCTGTCTGATGATTATGTCATGGTACCTGTTTAAGTGGAGAAGTGCTATGTGCATATGATTGAGAGTTCCACCAGACTATTCCACTTCCCAGATCCCAGTCTTTGTCCTGGTGTACTTGCGGAATACTGTACCTGTGGGCTGGGAGGAAAGGCATAGTTTTGTGGTTAATGGCAATCTTGGAATCACTAGTAGCTAGGAAATAATATACAATATGTATCTAGAAGTTGTGTGTGCAGTAAGCCGATGTTCTGAGTTCTTACCGTTGCAACTTGTATTTATCAGTTGGTTTGTCCGCGAGCGCGGTATTCCGTTTTCCAGAGTGCCTCACAGACCCTCTCATCAGGGCTGTTAAGTGGACAGGAATTTCCCTGTACGGACGGACGAACGGACAAAAGTCAAAATTATCGTGGACGAACGGACATGTCCTTATTTTGTCCATTCACTGAAAACCCAAGATTTACCCCATAACCCAGACGTCAAAATCGCGCCAAAACCACTTCTGCTACTGATTTGGCCTACGTAGGATTTCCAAAAATTTAAAAGAGATAAAAACATTTATTTGTGCAAATCAATTAAAAATTAAAACAATTATCCTATCACTTGCAAATAAATAAAAATGTGTTCAGAAAAAACAAAAAAACTTGCTTGTATGATATTTCCACACACTCACACACACATACACACATACATACGCGTACACACGCACATATTTATACACACACACATATATATATATATATATATATATGACTGTCCTGAGTATTTGTCCACTTAACAGTCCTGTCTCTCATTCTCACTCTTGTTTGTTCTATAAAAAAAACTCCTCGGGGGATTTTTTTTCGACAAAAGTTTGGACTTTGAAAATTCAAAATTGAAATGTCTCTTAACATATTGATGTACTGTGATAGTGATACATTAAGTGATATATCAGTTATCAGTTATCACTGTTTCTACTGTCTCTTACTCTCTACTAACTACTCTACTAGTACTAGAGCTCTACAGTCTACAGTCTACCATTGCTTACTCAGTTTCTCTACTCTCTGGAATAGTGACCTAGTCTCGCTGGTCTCTAGAGTAGCGAGTGAAATTTCTACTAGAGAGTATCTACTCTAGGGAGTCTAGAGTGCAGACTACTTTAATAGTCCTCTTGCTGACTCACACTGTGGTCCATTCGAGTAATAGTGTCTGCCAGCTTGGATCTATTGGCTCCTGGAAATCTAAGAGTTGTTTGACGCCGTGACGGGGTTCATAACATTCTTGAGTACTGTAGCGTGGACTGCGTCGTAACCATCATATTACGATTAATATATAATATGGTGTAGTTTATACCTTGATATACCTTTCTTTCCCCAGGCATTCCAATTTCCAGGCTCCAGGCCCAGGCGTCCAGCACATTTTGAATTTTCTATAACATTCTTTAAAGTACATAATCTCGACTACATATTTATTTTTTGTTGTCTAAAAAAAAAAGAAGATTATATTCCAGAGATTTCCAGCCCAACTCTGTGAAAGTCTGCCCAGTGCGGTGCTCACGCTCACCCTCAAAAATGTTTTTTTTTTATAAATAAGAGACAAAGTCTGTTAGACTGTCACCTATACATATTTAGGACTCCATAATATTTAAAGGTTTCAACAGCTCAAGGCTTATCAATTGCAATAAACTTTGAGACAAAAAAAAAACTATATCACCAGTGTAGAAAATTAAAAAAGGCTACATATTTGATATCTGATATTTTTGTTTGTTTTTATAAAAATACATATTCACACATATTCCCGAGAGTTTTCCCCACGGCCCTCTGGAATCAGGAATCAGAGAATCAGGACAGGACAGCCGTGTTTTCCTTGTGATATTGCGATAATAGGATCTACAACCACAACGGGCTCATTTTATTTAACTGGGAAATAGCCATTCCGGTATTTTCCTCAACACATGACGATTTTGATGGATTTTGAACAATGCATATGTCTACTCAACCTTTCAGAGCAGGGTCTATAAAAAACTTTACGTACGTTATATGCAATACAAACCTATCAAACATTTTCTTGAACACAAACATCCTATAACTGTGTCTTTTGATAAGAAAGATGATGAGTCAGTCACGAATTTGGAGTCTGGTGAGGCTTTCGTTGAAGAGAAAGATAACTATATGACCAAGCAGGAAGCAGAGGCGAGAGGCTTCTTCTGGATCAATCCTCACCCGGAGACTCGCAAGGATAAGATGACAGCGTATGCAAAGTTGGCGCTTCTGGCACTTCCGTGGGTTGGTGTACAATGTATAAGGAGTCTGGCGATGAGGCTAAGGTTGGTGCCCAGTTCGGTCTGCTCAATCTTTTCATCGTGGTACCCCAGATCATTGTCACCCTAGTTGTGGCCGAGATGAGTGTCCCGATTGGTCTTGAGGCTTTTATGGTAATGAATGGTGTCGCATTCGGAAATGCAGCTATTGTCGCCATCTTCATCCGCGAGAACCCAAATTACAAATACTAAAATGAATAGGTTAACAAAAAAGATACACTCAAAAATCAGTATTTGTACAGTTTTCTCGTATTAAAATCAAACATGCGCTGCATTTGAGCTCTTATTAATCTTGTGCAGCGAAAGCGCAATCTTTCTACATTCACAAGCATTGTTCAATTTTCAGAAGGCTATGTAACAAAACTTAAACAATAATATGCTCGTATGATCTACTAGTTCGAATTCAATCACTGTCGTAGCACAGTTTGGTGCAAAATTGACTTGCTGTTTCTGTATCAAATAAGCGGATGTAACTTACACAAATTTTAGGGTTTTCATATCACGCGTCTAATGGGGCAATCTATAAACAAAATAAGGTATATGAACAAGATTTCTTCACATAGTTTAAATCTATATCATCAACCACAATCAATCATTAAAATCCACTTTTAATCCACTTTTTAATATGAATTTGTCAACAACATAACATGGATTCTCTGTTCTGTATTATTCTGGAAACCTCTACCCGTATCAACAATGCCTCATAAACGTTGTCACTGATTTCGGCCTAGTTATAACCAGTATCCGCGCATTGCAAATCTTTTGTTTCGAACGTAGCAGTGTTACCTTCGTACTTCTCACCTTGTAATTTATTTTTTTCAAAATATGGCTATCGACTTCAGGCTGCGATCGTATCAGAGTAGCCTATACTTTTAACAGTTGTTCAGCAACTCAATATTAACTTCCAGCATACTTGGATCCTCAATCTTGGATATCATCATCACTATCCACGGTATTCAATCGCCGAAGCCTTCGCTTCTCATCCATACGTTCAGCTTCTGCTTCAAAATCGGTCTTATTGAAGATACGAAATTCATTGGGGTACAGCTGGTCAAACGATTCCCATGTGGTTTCGCGGATATATTTCTGCAACATACTACGGCGGGTGATCCATTTCTCACCACTGCTTTGAAACGCACCTGCAAAGAAGTATTGTGTATGTTCAGTGTAAAGTCAAGTGATATATTGCACATCTCTAAACCATGCAAGTCTTGTGGTTAGTGATGGTTTTAACCCGACAGTGAACGATCACGTTTCCGCTCCGTCATCAATAGAAAACACAGAGACGTTTTATCATACATCTGATCATATACCAAGGCAGAGTAATGCGGAGAAGTCATATAGATAGCGCATGATCAAAATCAATGCAGCTCTCAAAGAGTCCATACATGACATAGACGAAGTATATCGAGGTGGTGATGGGCACGTTACATACCGGTTGCTCGCAAGAAAAGTGGGCGGATAGCATATGCAGCTTTCACTATATCGTCGGCGGCGAGCACGGACTGCAACGAGACACACCAATACGTTCAGAGTTAGATACGAGGTACTAATCTAGGACAGTGTGGTGTATAATATGGTATTGAAAACATTCGCCAGTGTTGGATAAGAGGCCAAAAGCAAGATTGCTTTCGTATGAAACAATTTAGAGAGAGCTTGAGCAGGTGGAATTCACGGCGATGAGGATACTGTCACACAAACAACATATGCACTAAACGGAATCATATGTTGTGTCGGAAAAAGGAGTTGCGTGTGATATACGAACACCCACTGTGGCAGATACAGTACATACACATTGGTAAGAAGATACAACGCACGCACACGGTCACGCGACCATACACACGCACAAGTGAATACCTGGTGGGAGTAGAAGGGCACGCAGATGGCGAAGGCAACCACCAGGACGAACTTGGTGAAGAAAGTGTAGTCCGTGGCGAAGTATAGGTACAACATGAAGAGGAATGCGTACAGGATACTTAGCGCCGGCACCACAATCATTCCAGTAAGGACCTTCCACGAGGCTACCACATCGTTAGCTTTGATCTGATTAACGCCGAAACGTAGCCGAAGATTAAGCAAGTCAGAACCTCGACAATGAATGCAGATAGAAGATAAACCTTTAATTTGTAGATTCAAACACGTCGAATCGAAAGACAGACTTCGTACTTTTAGATCAAAGCACCTCGACAAGATATATGCGATTAACTGGTCGTGTGTTTCCATTGAAGAGTACTGCCAAATTGAGGTTCATTGAGTTTGGGAACCCACCGAAATGAAAGATGAAAGCCGAAGCGATGCGCTGAGTCCGCGACGCGACGATACATGGCTGACTTGACCTCTGACAGGCTAAAAGAGGATTCGACGTCACTACTATAGACAGTGCATACAGATACACACTGATATTATAGAAAGTGCATACAGATACACACTGATACTATAGAAAGCGCATACAGATACACATTGATACTATAGAAAGCGCATACAGATACGAATATGGAAGGATAAATGTACCTTGACATCAGATGTCCTCAAGGCCTCTTGTTGTTTATTCGCAGCCACAGTCTCCACAATGAAACCAGCAGGGAAGGCCAACAAGAAACCAGGGAGGTAGGCGAGTAGGTACGAGGTCAGGAGAAGCCCCTGTTCAATCATCTCGTAGAAGGCTTTGCGTTTCTTACCCATCTGCACAGCTGTCTGCATCTTAGCTACCTGGCTGTCGGTGATACCTAGGGGGTTCAGATGCGGACGTGTGTAATGTGGCTGAGTGTATATACAAATTGTAATGGGTGATAAATATATAAATATATCAATATATATGTATTTATATATATATACATACATATTATACGGTATTGGAGTAGCCCACTGTATTCAGCCAGGAGAGACTGGTCTGATAAAATGGCGATACTCGCGCAGATACGATGCATGTAAAAATATTACTACATGCAACATTCGAACGATCTTATTGCATATATGGCACAGCCAACGACAATCTACCTACCCGTGAAGCAAACAAGCGTAATCAATTTACTTTTGGTATCATCACCACAATTAACCACAGACTAGCGCGGCACTGAAACTTACCTACACCCGTCCGAATACAACAACGCAACCAGCTTACCCGCAATCTTCAAATCTCGACGGTACTCCAGCACGGTCGCCTTCAAGTCCGCAAAGAAAGGCAGCTCGTCCATCTTCGCATAAGCCTTCGAGAAGCGTTGGTTGAGCTCGTGGTATTCGTACGGTGTGATGTGGCGTCCGACAGGCACGTATAATCGACGCAAGTAGTGTACAACAACCAGTGCTTCGTGGTCGGGTGTTTGTACCACAACGTCCTGTAGTCCGACAGTCACACGCTCTAGAAGGTCTCCGATGGCTTTGTGTTTGTCTGTGTGTGGGGAAAAGTGTAGTTGGTTCCATCGGAGGAAGGCAGTGGTACTAGGAGTGAGATATGGTGGGTGATGAAGTGATGATGTGGTAGTTTACGCCGCCTATGAGAATGTAGCATAGAAGAACAATGTGGCCTGGCCTGTGCACATTTCATTGCAGCATTTTCGATCACCAAGCATCGGATTAACGACTACGGATTCGTCACCAGCCCAAGCATTCCCATAAACATGAATACACAGTTGTACTATAGCACCGCTAGTTCTACATGCATATCCTGATGCAGGCGAGCCCACACATTCCATTTGAGTAAGCCAAACATACCAGTGGTATATAGCTCTACTTCCTCCTTCTTGATTTCAATGGGGACACCGAATTGGATAACGACCTTAGATCGGAAGCGATTCGCCTGACTGTAGTTAATTCCACAAGGCACCTGCACAGATGCGAAAAGCACGTTGTTCAGTCGCAAGCTTGACAAGAAAATATCATCCAGTATCCTAATTCATATAGAGGCAACGAACAACTAACTATATACACTTGCACAAACTACGCTACATATAAGAGTATCGAAAACAAGCACATCACAAGCCGTTGTAATTTGTATCCGGAAAGCAGTCCGTAGAATAGCAGAGCACAACTATGCCAGCACAGCAAAACAACAAAACAACAAAACAGAGCAAAACAATACAATACAAAAAACAAGAACAAAACAAAACAAATGCACTAGTAACTAGTAGCAACAAAACACTAAAATAATAAATTCATACCACATTCACGTTCAGTCCCGGGTGGGTTGTCATTGCTCCAAGGGCCATGATACACACACCAGCCTTCAACGGCAACAGCTCGGTACGATCGTGGGATCCACCCTCCGGGAAAATGCCCAGAATGCTTCCGTTGAGGAAAGATTCATAGACGGCTCCGTACATCTTATGTTGATCCACTCTCTTGAAGATCTGCAGACACAAGGGAGAGGTATACCATACATGGCATGAGATTGTACAGTATAATATATATATATTTAAATATATACATATACATATACACACACACATATATATATATATATATACATATATATACACATACATATATATATATATATATATATATATATATACTATATATATATAATATAATAGAGGATATAGCTATAGACATTTAAGCATAAAGAAGTTATAGTTACAGAGACATTTAATCATAGAAGTTATAGCTATAGACATTTTAGCTTATAGAATTTATAGCTAGAGACATTTAGAATAGACAAACAACACCTTTTGACGGTCAATGCCAATGGTCATACACGTGTATAATACATGTGTGCAGAGGTGTTCTGAGTGCGATGTGTGTATGTGTGCACACGCAAAGAATAGCACTGCATAGTACCCACCTTATATCCGGCGAAGTCCTCTACCGTCTCGTCGATATGTCCGTGAATGCCAGTAACTTCCATCTCGTTGTCAGATATGACATTCAACACTTTGTACAGATTATCTTTGATCTGTAATGTTGGCATGTGTAAGGGCATACCACAGTATCAGCTAAGGATGCAGACAACACTCATCAGTCAGCTATACCGACGGCCACCATATGTGCATTGCAGTCCCCCAAAAAAAATATTTAACAAGCACAAGTTACATCTAAATATCCAATATCAAGCAGATGGTTATATACAGTGGCAATGGCGGCTATATAGCTATAGCAGACCCAGATGAGAATATATATCAATCCAAGCATATTGCAAAGGCATGGAAATGCTATACAACAAAAGGAACAGCCAGGAGGTAGAGTATTCGTTTGTGACCTGCCTACGTTCGACCTACACCTACCCCACACACACCTTAAAGCGTGATAGTATCGTACACTGCTCAGAGTGTAGGTTGTAGCCTGCCTCCTTGTGGAAACACCGCCCGTTGCCATTTATATATATACATATATATATATATATATATATATTTATATGTATATGTATATGTGTATAAATATATACATATACATATATAAATGATAGATCCCAAGAGCAAATATATACACTTGATTACATACACGAACACACATCCATGCATACATGGACCATGTACCTTGATGCTGTCTTGAGCCGCGAAATCTACAGTGAATGTAGTCGCTTGCCCTCTCACAGTGGTCTCGCCTTCTTTCACAGAGACTGTTCCGATTCCCTTCTTCGCGCTGTCCTGTGGGCGTGCCACGGGGATGCTATTCATCACCTTTGCTAGGTGACCAATCAATGGTCGGTGGTAGCTTTTCTCTGCGATGATAAAGCGTAACTGGATGGTTCCGTTGTTGAGTGTATGTTGATTTTAGCATAAGGGGTTCTGGCTTGAATATGAAAATATATTTTTATGTGGTGTCCGTATTCACCGGCCAGCTCTGTCGACGTTCAGCCATTCCCACACATAACGGGCATGATACAACAGCGCGCGAGCTTCTATTCTAATAAATAACTTTTGGTTCAACTATTTTATGCATACATCCGAAGTTGTGCTCACAGGAAGAATGGGTGCATATAATGCAAAAATGCAAGCACAAGCATAAACCCATCAACATACATACACACAAACATTCACATTCACATACAAAGACTCAGACAGATACATATTTATAGGACATAGAAACCATACCCCTCGATTCTGCTCGGATTTGATGACAGCTGACAGCAGGATAGCATCCACAAACTGATTCTGATGATTTCCAACATAAATGGAGGGCCCTGTATATAAAGCATACACAAATGCAATCCATATCGATATATTTAAGAAAATGTTCAGTATATCGCTTCCACATAAATACATCAGTAGTACACAGCGGGCGTAGGGAGTGAAGCCAAGGCAAGATCCAGTATGGGTGTGCGTGCATGCATTGCTACATACACGCAATCACTATTAGGCATACAGTCTTGACTTGAATTGACATGTTCGACCCCGCTGCCGTAAATATATATATAACTGTGTAAAAGCACTTTGATATATAACCACATGAATACTAGACATATTGACAACAAAACATGTGCTCACACTTATTTCTCGAGAGCTATTTAAACACTAATCTAACAACCGCTAAAAAGTTATCATGACAACCGTCACCATAAAAACCACCTAAATTCATGCAAGATTGATTCCTGAATAATATTTTCGACGTTAGAACAAAACCTACACATACATCAACAAATATACATGCGACTGTAGAAACAAAACAAAAAGGAACACATGCAAAAAAATATTCGCACACACACTCACCCC